ATTCATTTCTAACTTTTCAGCTAGTATGCAGCGGACCTTGTTCTCAGTTTCTTCCCCACTCTCACGTTGCGATTCAGGAATGCCGTCAATAATAATGTTATTCCTTTTTGACCTCGCCTCAAGATTGTCAATTTTCCCCTCCAGTAATAGTGCCGATTCGCACACTTGCTCCCCACGTGCTTCTCGGCACATTTTAACAATGTCCTCGGTTCTCTTCTCTTGATTATCCACCTGCGCTTGTGTGTAATCCAAACTCAGTTTGTATTCTGTGACGTCTTTTACAAGATCATCAACTCGCTTATTTGTTGTTTCCATAAAGAGTTGTAGAAACGTTTTTAAGGTTTTTTCCTGTAGATCCATCATGTCCTTAAAAGATTTTCTGTGTTTGAGTGTTCACAGTAACATATTCCTCCTCAACAGCAGACTCTTTCAGAGACTTCTTAGGAGGAGCCATCTTGATGGATCACAAGCAAAATAAGGGAATAAACTTGAAAACAGCCTAATGTTAAGTTACTGTGCAGCTGCAGCGCATCTCGGTCTGTGTTTTGGTTGCTTTCCTAACTTTGTGCAACAACATTAGAGTGACACACATCATTTAAAAACAGGACAGTGATTATCTGTGTCTCAGTAGACATTTAGTTACAACTCTGGACTAATTCAAACGTTGATCAGCACAGACTGGGCAATAGGGATAGACATATCTCAGTTAAGAAGCATCACTATTCAGTCAAGTCAAAGTATAAATAGTATTATTGAAACTGAATTAAAGGAAACACTGAGTGCCAGTTTGAATGGGTCTGATGCAAGTGACAACATTAATTGCAATTAACATTTCCAAGTTACCAGTTTTAGCTTAAGTTTTAGAAACCTTGTTTGATGATCAGTTAAAGTACTATTTGGTTTTTCGAATGTTGAGAAAAGATTATGCTTCTTTCAAACTCTAAGGAGTCTTGGACAGTAAGTATTTTCACTATACATGGTGAGCAGATCGCACAAGTCCAATTGTACAAATATGGGTAATATTGAGTTGTAACCTCACAGTCATCAGACCAGGCACGACCATCGACCGACTCTGAAAGTCCTGTAGTCTGCACGAGCCTTTAGTATAACTTGTAGAGCACCCGGGTGATGTCTATGTTTGTAAAGCAGCTGTCTGGTTGTTGGTCTGATGTTTGCTGCATGACACACTTTGAATTTCCGAAAGGAACAATAAATATCACCTATAAACATGCACAGCTGATCCTGGTACCGGGAGGGGCGCCGCCTAAGTACGTCAACCATAGTGCACTGAGATTTGTTGACTGGATCTAAAGCATCTACACACCATTGCTCCTTGTACAAAATGACAAAGTGGCCCTCATTATCAGTGAGGAGGCACATGCATTGGCTTACTTTCGTTTACAAGTCTATGTTGGATATGCTCTTCTCTTATCTTTGTACTTACATGTCATGCAACATCAGTTCCTATTAGAGCCCAACCGATGTGAGATTGTTAAAATCCGATAGCCGATATACCGGCCGATGTTTCCCCCCCTTATTTTAAGAAATGCATGAGATAAAAAAAGATTATCCCTAAAATGTTATGTTAAGAACTCACCCAGATACAAAGACATATTGTAGTATAAAAAGAAACTGTGTTTTAAATAGTACTTTGAACAAAAGTACAACAAAATATATAAAGGTTTTGATGAATAAGAGTCAAATAAAGCTACATAAACTGGTTTAAAATATATATGTTTGTTATAAATTAGGGAATGCTACTACGAATGAGCATTAAAGTAAATAGTGTATTGTGTGGGCCAGCAAAACAGAAACTATAAGAATTACCCATATAATAATACCCAATAATACAATATATCATAGGTAATGTCATTGCTTTCATAATGATGAAGAGGGCTCTCCCACAATAATTATATATATTTTTTTGTCATGCAATTGTTATTACCTTACATATAATCTGCCACAATGACTACTTTCATATTGTCTGTGATTCAGTGACACAGAAAACGCTGCTGTTTAATTAATCGAATACTAAATGACTGTCTACAAGGAGGACCTGCAACTTTGAGATTTCACACCAACGTTTCACATTCAAAAGAAGTAGTAATGTTAGAGAACTTTGTTAGGTAGGAAGCCGTGTTAGATAGTTGCACAGCTCACGTTTATTCCAAGTATTAAACATATTAATATTAATATACAATTAAGTAATGAACTAGGGAGAAATGAGAGGACCGTTCACTAGAAGTGACGCAGTGATTCAGAATAAATCTACAATCACGTCTGTCAGCGTAACGTCCACCTGGAACACATTGCAGACTGCAGTTGCAAAATCTGATTTCTAATCTCTTTTGGTGAATTTAAACACTGCAGGAATGACTTGGAAGTAGATGCTATAAACTCTTGTCACTGCTTTTAAAATAACTAAATCCGTTAAACCTATGGTATGTACAGACTTTACTTTTACATAGTCAAATGTTTGTTTAAATGTCCTTTGTTGTTTGTGTGCTTGATGTTCGTATTTGTAACTCTGCCAATATGCTGCTATTGTGGCCAGATCATCTGGTTAAATTAAATTTTAAATAGTAATACAATAAAGATTACTACTTACTGTCATTTGAGAGTAAGTAGTTACATTACTGTCACCCTGGACCCTGACAGTCAACCAACCCAAAACCAGAGTGCTCATTTTCCAGACAGGGTCCAGACGACAGAGAAACAAAACCAGCTTCACAACTGAAATGTGTGTCCAACAAATCATTAACGTGTGAGGAAATCTGAGCTTGGCTGTGAAAGACAAAGTTGCTTTCTATGGCATTAAGAGATCAAACATTCAACTACCAATTACTCAGGCTACTCATCAAACAAACTGCATTTTATGGAAGCTAGAGATGCTTCATTACGGCAATGATCATAATCAGGAATATTTTGGTCATAAATGAGATCAATATTATTTAACAGGATTACTGATCATCACACATTTTTATCAGACTGTTGTGTGGGATTTACTTACAAAGATTACCATTAAAATCATGCTATTGATAAAACAATTTAATAGTAAAAATAGTTTAACAAAAAACTTTGTAGGAATAATTAAAATAAGTTTATGAAAACGTACCCTGGGTTAATGGTTACATACTCAGAGGTGAAATGTAAAATTATGTATTAAGGAATATGAGAAAAAGATGATATTGAGAGCTTTTTATTAAACACCTAAAGAAAAATCATTGTCAATATAAAAGTGGCGCCTCCAACAAGAGATGCCCCAGCTACAGATAGCAACAAAAGGATAAAAAACACAATAAAGCCAGACGGCTTATTTCCATTGTGTTCCTTTTTTGGAAGGCAAATGAGTAGGAGCATCATGAAAAGGCAACCAGTTAGTTATTAGCAACTTCCAAGTATACACCGTTTCTCTTAAAAAATGTTAAAGTCAAAGTAATAATAAATAAATAAAATTCAGTAACAATACATTGTACAATAATACTAATCCTTACACATTCCTATATACACCATACAATACTAGTTCTGTCACAACATCCCCACATTTTATAAGGGAATTCACTAAATATTAATTAGGCCAGTACAATGCAAAATTAACACAAAAGCACTATTGTACAAGCATTATTGATCCACAGCCAGGCTCAGCGAGTACGAGCACAGCCAGTGATGTACAGTCAGGTACAAGGTACAAGCAGCTCAGACCCTAATGGAACAGATTGGCCCCCAGTCTCAACAGACTTTGAGGTAGAGCAATACAACAACAATGATAATTATCACAATTAAATTTTCCTCAATAACAATATAATAAATGTTCAATACATTGTCATTAAATATATGGTGTAATTCATTTGAATCACGAACAAATTAGGACTTAATTTTTCTATTGAAATATTTATTTTGTTAAGCAAAGCGGGAATTTAAGATTTTATCATAATAGTTTAGATTGTTCTACCTCAGATTTGTTAAGTGATCCACTGTTTGGCATCATGTATTTGTTACATTCTCACCATGAAGAAATAGTTTAACCAAATAATGAACCATCTGATTTCTTCACGCAGGAGCAAAAATCAACCTTTAAACTTGAAAGAAATAATGATTTGATATACATCATGATAATTATCGATATCAAATGATATGAAATGTTTTTATTGTGATAACATTTTTGTCCATATCGGCCAGCCCTATTTTGAGGACCGAGTTAGTCCATTCAAACCAGCACTGGATTTTTCTACAAGAGGTTTACATTCAGGCTTATTGCAGAGATGGGGACTCGAGTTAGAGACTCTGACTCGAGTGCGACTTAAGTCACACACACAGTGACTTCAGACTCCACTCGGACTCGAGGTGCAGGCGGGACTCGTGAACAATGTTTATTTTAAGCAAATGTCTGTTGAGATTGCCGTTATTCCCTCCCACCGTTACCTATAACCTTCCTACGTAGCATCTGCTGCGCACGGCCGCACGTGAGAGAGGACAACAAACACCGGCAGCTGCTGAGGCAATCATCATAAACTTTGACTTTAAAACTTCATCCAACCAAACAAAGAAGCGCTGAACGCAAATATGTCGTGAGTGAACATGTTTAGCTCTGCATTGGCCATCTAACGTTAGCTTGCTTCAGCTACAACCTACGAGAGGTTTACTCCGACTGTCGTTCATTATGAAAAGATGAATGAGCGTTTACTTGCCAAACTTGCGGTGGTCGATTAACGTAATCATTTAAGTCCCGCTGGCTGCAGTCACGTTAATTATTACCGTTGGCTGGAAAGAGGTTACAGGTTTATTGCCGATCATGTAACCTTACAGTTTTATTTAGTTATAATGTTGCACTGGTTTGAGAGTGGGGGGGTGTTGACTTACAGTAGTTTAAGCTGTCATTGATTGCATTGCACATTGCGTGGTCGTGCTCTGTAAGTTAAAAACACATTACAGCTTTATTGTTGAACATTTTTATTTAGTTAACTTTAGAGTTAACTTGTGTAACTGAAAAACAGGTTACAGTTGAAGAATTGCTTATAGCCATGCAGTTTTATAAGCAACCTGCATTGAACGCAGCAGGTGATACAACATTCGTAATAACAACGAGAGACTTGAGACTTGACTGGGACTCCAGCTCAAAGACTTGCTAGCATCTCTGCATGAGGCTGGAGGAAACAACTGAAAAATTTATCAAAACTAAACAGCATGACTGTGTTGGTGGCGTTTAAGGTTTCTACCATTAGTAAAGGTTTTTCCACAGGTTTCACACCAGAACGGTTTCTCTCCAGTGTGAACACGTCTGTGTCTGCTTAAGGCACTTGATGTAGTGAAAGCATTCCCACATTGGTCACAGCTGTACGGTTTCTCTCTGGTGTGAACACGTCTGTGTGTTTCAAGGCTACTTGAGTGAGTGAAACTTTTCCCACACTGCCCACAGCTGTACGGTTTCTCTCCAGTGTGAACACGTTGGTGGGCTTTCAGTTCACTTAATGTAGTGAAAGCTTTCCCACACTCCTCACAGCTGTACGGTTTCTCTCCAGTGTGAACACGTTGGTGAACTTTTAGAATTTCTGATTTAGTGAAAGCTTTCCCACATTGGTCACACCAATATGGTCTCTGTCCAGTGTGAACACGTCGGTGTACCATAAGTTCACCAGATGTTGTGAATCTTTTCCCACACTGCCCACAACTGTAAGGTTTCTCTCCAGTGTGAAACCGTTGGTGGATTTTTAGGGTACCTGATTGATTGAACGCTTTTCCACACTGCCCACAGATGTAAGGTTTTTCTCCAGTGTGAATCCGTTTGTGGATTTTTAGGTAACCTGATTGACGGAAACTTTTCCCACACTGCCCACAGCTGTACGGTTTCTCTCCGGTGTGAACAGGTTGGTGGATTTTTAGGTCAGCGGATGCAGTAAAACTTTTCCCACACTGCCCAAAGCTGTACGGTTTCTCTCCAGTGTGAACACGTTGGTGGGCTTTTAGGACATTCGATCTAGTGAAAGCTTTCCCACATTGGTCACAGCTGTATGGTTTCTCTCCAGTTTGAACCCTCTGATGAAATTTCAAGTTTTTAGATGTTGTGAAGGATTTGTCACGGTGGTGAAAGCAGTGAGGTGTGAGTCCCTCTCTTCCTCTGCATTTCTATAGCAACAGAAAAAGAAAGACAGTAAGTCAGATGTCATGGTGGAGCGAGCTATCTAGAAGCAGCGGACACTAATGAGACCAGTGTAAACCTTTTTCCATGAGACCACCACAAGTCAGTCATGTGCGATAAATCAAATATGAATTAAACAGGGGCTTTTTTTTTTTAAATAAAAGACAGTTATACCAATTCTTCCCATGATGTGACTTGTATTGCACAACAGTATTACCAAGATTCGTTAGCAGCTTAATAATGTCGTTCTGAGAGCCATCCAGTTGACAGAAGAATTTGTACATCCGATTTCTTATTGAGTCCAGCCTTACAGAACAAGTCACCTGCGCTACACCACCTAGGTTTGTTAAGCAATATCCGCATACAGTCATTATAGGCAACCTGAAGCTTGTTAAACTTTGCCTACAATGGGGCAGTATAGAGGAGTGCATTATGTTTATCATAACATGTTCTGAAGCATAAAGCATAGGATACTGCCTATACATGTCATCATCATCATCAGCCATTTGATCTGTGAAGAAGTGCCCCAGGTATTTTATTTTATTTCAAATACTTAGCACTTGCCCTGACAGATAAAAAGTTGAGGTCCTTCCTCTTTTGTTCTGCATATCATCATGCTGCATGCAAGTCATGCTGTCAGGCACACCCCTTACTCTCAATTTCAGAAACAACTTCCGGTGATTGTCATAGATACATACATCAGTACCATTTTTAGCCTTAAAGCCAAACTGGTTGTCTGTTGTAGGGCTGAACGATTATTTTTTAAGCTTTTAATCTTCTGTATTATTCAAAACAGATGCAATAAATCAGTGTACAGTATTACACAGCATTAGATAGATTAAACATACACTGTCCTTTCCTTTAGCCCAGGCCAATTATGTTGGGTGATACGTGAATTATTATTATGAGCAATGATGGAGAAAAGTATCAAATTATAAAAATTTCAGAAGATCATTTGAGAGTCAAGTCATGGCATTATATATCATCATCAACACAGTGTATTATACAGTAAGGGCTCAACACAAAACCCACAGTTCCATCACCAATTAATGAGTCATTATCTCAGTTCAAATCTCCACAAGAGTCCTCTCTCATCAAAAGCCTTATTTACCTCACTCCCAGCAAGCAAACAAAATAAATAAATACTCAGATTGGGGTTTATTGCAAAAGTTTGCCAACAAAAATAAAAAGAGCAAGAATATAAGATTATTTACAAAAACCCAAAAGAAAAGCAACTACATTGCATCTAAAACCTTTATATTACTGAGAACTTGTAGAAAATGTTAAGCGTGTTAAGGAAATTAATTAATTTTAAAGTAAATTATGGTTGCACCATGTTACATTTTATGTATCACAACAGTTTATGTAGCTGAAAAAAAAACACTAAAATCATTTAATTTGAAAAAAAAATGACATTCATTTATGTGTACACAGCATTCTTAATGTTTGAACAACGCCATTAAATGTTCAAAAGTTTTGTATTTTAAAATTGGCATGTTAAATTCTTATGCCATTGACCCAAATACGACTGTTCATGTTTGCCTTTTGTGTCTTCATCTTCAGCCTTTGACATTTATCTGTAGATATTAATCTAAAAAATAGGCAACATGAGAAACCTCCCTTCTGAGGTGCATTTTATTTGCACATTAAAATCCAAAAAGAAACGTCTCCAACACTTGTTTGTATCACATTAGCTTTACTAACCTCGGCTCCTCTACAGTCACCACCATCCTTTCTTTTCCAAAACCACTTTTCCACACTCACCTGAAAACTGAAAAATAATTTAATCAGTCTGTTCAGGACAGAGCTGCAGGCTACACCAGTTTAGTCTCAGTTTGTAACTAATGTTCTCAACATTGGACAAGTAGGCAGTAATAAAATACATCTACCAGTTACTTTCTATAAATTGAGCTAATGTTCAGTTACATAGCAGCCAAAAGACAGAGCCTACTCTATAAGATAACCTGCTTAGCTGCGCAGTCTGAAGGGGAGTGGAGATGTTTGCTAGCGCTAACAGGCTTAACTTTTCTTGGTCTTGAGAAGCGGACACGCTGTTACCGTCATAGTACATTTATTGCCAGAATTTTTTCCTCTGCTCGTGGTCACAGTCACTTTCTGCCACTCGGACAATCAAACACTCGCTACGCAACTCCCGATTCCTTAAAGGATTTAACAGGAGCAAAAGACGAAAAAAACACGTTCCGTCTGATTCGGGCCTAAGATGCTAAGAACATTGTCGTCCCTTGTTTACAAGCGTCCTCCGCTTGTCCATTATTTTTATTAAATGCAACAAAAGAAAAAAGTTGTGATCAAAAGCAAACCAAAGATTAGCCTACAGATCGCTGGTGCTATAAATCCTTGATTGACAGGAAAGCTTATTCGGTGGTTGCCTGAAAAAAAACCCCGCCAAATTCAACCACAAAGACATTGCTGTGCGCCTCGCGTGTTCGAACCTGCAAAGCGCGTTCTGACTGACTGTGGCACAGTACTGGCAATAACATTACAGACGTCGAAAATACCTCTCTCTCCCTGTTCTTCAGTCTTTAGCTTTTTGGCTAACAGCTGACTTTAACAACAGAAGGTCCGGTGCCGCTGCGCTGCAGTGTGGTCGAAATCAATTCTTTGACATACAGGAAGCCAATGTAAAGACCACAGAACTGGAGTGATGTGATCCACCTTTTTGGTCTTAGTGAGGACTCGAGCAGCAGCGCTCTGAATCAGCTGCAGCTGTCTGATGGATTTCTTAGGGAGCCCTGTAAGGACACTGTTACAGTAGTCAAGTCGACTGAAGATAAATGCATGGATAAGGTTTTCCAGGTCCTGCTGAGACATAAGTCCTTTAATCCTTGATATATTCTTAAGGTGATAGTAGGCTGACTTTGTAATTGTCTTAATGTGGCTCCTCAAATTCATGTCTGAGTCCATGACTACACCAAGATTTCTGGCTTTATTTGTGGTTCTTAACATTACAAATTGAAGCTGAGCACTGACTTTCAATCGTTCCTCCCTGGCTCCAAAAACAATAACTTCAGTTTTATCTTTGTTTAATTGAAGGAAATTCTGTCACATTCAATCGTTTACCTGCTCAATACAGTCACTCAGCGCCTGTATGGGATCATAGTCCCCTGGTGAAATGGTTATGTAAATCTGTGTGTCATCTGCATAATTATGGTAACATATTTTGTTGTTTTTCATAATCTGAGCCAGTGGAAGCATGTAAATGTTAAACAAAAGAGGTCCCTGAATGGAGCCTTGGGTAACTCCACATGTCATTTTTGTCAGCTCAGATGTGTAATTACCTATAGACACAAAGTAGTCCCTGTCCTTTAAGTAGGATTCAAACCATTTTAGTACTGTGCCAGAAAATCCAACCCAGTTTTCAAGTCTGTCTAGTAATATGTTGTGGTCAACCGTGTCGAATGCAGCACTGAGATCCAATAATACTAAGACTGAAATTCTGCCACTGTCAGTGTTTAAATGGATGTCATTGAAGACCTTAACAAGAGCCGTCTCAGTGCTGTGGTTTGGTAGAAAACCTGACTGGAAGACATCAAAACAGTTATTTAGTGCCAAGAAAGCACTAAGCTGTTGAAAAACAGCCTTTTCAATGATTTTACTTAAAAATGGGAGATTTGATATGGGCCTATAATTGCTCATTAGTGAACTGTCTAGATTGCTCTTTTTTAAGAGTAGCTTAATAACTGCAGTTTTCAGGGCCTGTGGTAAAAAACCCGAGAGGAGACATGTTGACAATTTGTAGTAGATCTGAGGCCATGCATTTAGAAACATTTTTGAAAAAACCTGTTGGCAGAATATCAAGGCATCATGAGGAGGATTTCAGATGTTGTATTATTCCTCCAGGTTTTTATGGTTAATAGAATCAAATTGTCTCATGCTATATGAATTGTTTTTAAGTGGACACAGGGACAAGACATATCCTGTTACTGACATGGAGGCACTGATTGCTTGTCTAATTGTTTGAATTTTGTCTGAAGAAGGAAGCAAATTCATTGCAGGCCCTGGTGGATAGTAGTTCAGAGGCTACAGACACAGGAGGGTTGGTTTGCCCGTCGACAGCAGCAAACAGGGCACGTGCATCATTACTGTTTTTGGTGATGACGTCAGAGAAGAAGGACAGCCTCGCATTTCTCAGCTCTAAATTATAAATGCAAAGTCTCTCTTTATAGATGTCATAATGAACCTGGAGATTTGTTTTCCGCCACCTGTGTTCAGCTTTTCGACACTCTCTTTTTTGAGTTCTAACCAGCGTGGCATTTCTCCATGGAGATCTTCTCTTAACAGAGACCACCTTCAAATCACCAACAATAACCACACAGTCAAAGTCAATACAGATTATAGACAGCAGTTCACCAAAGTCATCGAAAAAGTTTGCACAGTATTTAGGGGGCCTGTAGATATTAGAGGAAGAGGAGAAGAGAAGAGGAAATCAGCTAAAGAGCCACATATTCAAAAGAAGCAAAATAAGAAATAAGACATCTTTTTGCATTGGAGGGAGTCATTAAACAAAATGGCAACTCCACCTCCTCTCTTATGCACTCTAACTTCACTCATAAAACTGAAGTTGGGAGGGGTAAACTCGATAAGGACAGCTGCACTGTTATCTCGGTCCAACCAAGTTTTAGTTAAAAACATGAAATTAATATGTTTTTCCTGCCAAAGACCTAATGTTTAACAAAGGTAATTTTAGTGTGTTAAAAATATTATCTGGCCCACTTTCTTTCGAGAGGCTGCGGCTGACGAGGAATTAATACTAAATTTGCAGGATATGTTGAGTGCTTCCTGTTCAGCATGTTAACAAGTTATATATACCTTAAGAACCTTAATAAGATGTTTATTAACATTAATGACTGAGTAAATGTGATGCAATTAAATCTGTGATATTAGCAATAAAATTTTAAGTTTGTATCTTTACATAAATATACCTAGTTTTGAATTAATATGCACACACACACTCCTCCCGCACAAATTATTGTGCGGGAGGAGCCTGGAGGAGCTACTTGACTCCAACTTCCCTTCCTGTTCTGTTGGTCTGGAAAGCCCTTGCATTTCAAACGAGGGACATGTGGATCAAATATAAGGTTCAAAAACAGTTAGCAACGTGGCTAGCTAAGTTACTACAGTCTTTACAGTTTTATAATGGCTCAAAAATTAGGCTTTACGTGTAACTTGGAGATAATGTTGTTACAGTGGATTTATTCTGGAAGCCGGAGAAGTTCCTGTTACTTCTGTGCCATGTGAAGCTTAAGCTGGTAGGTGGCTTTAGTCGCTTCATGTGTCTCTGCCAGTGCCTATAAAATAGTTTGTTCTAACGTGAGCTAACAATTTTTAGAGCAGCTTGAATAATGTCTTAGGGTAACTTAACTTTGTTTTCTTTTAACCTGGGCATTTGAAATTGGCCCAAGAGATCGCTGCAGAGGCAAAAAGAAGCTACAGTGTAACATTAATAGGCCCGCTGCACACCTTCGATTTACATCCACAACATGTGCTTGTTTTGCCACCGACATGCTCAGATAACTATTCTTAGTGTCTGACAACATTATGTTAAGGATCCCTGCTGAGGTCATAGGAAGATTGGCTGTTGGCTGTTGGGAAGGAATATCAATGAGACCCCTGACATCAGAAACGAGGCATGTACTTTTAATATTGTAGCTGTTAGTTTAATGTTGTAGCATTCGGATATCTGTACTGTAAGATAATCTCATATTCCATATATTTGTAGGACAGCAGCACTGAGTCCTGAAGAGAAGCTGTGACCAGAGGCCTCATTCACTATCTTGATGATAAGATAGAGGACTTAATCAAGGTACCAGGTAAAGAAAAGTTATTTTTCTGACCTCACCTTTTTATTAATGCGCACTGCAGGAATCGCAAATTTATTTCTTGATTTACACACATTACTCTCTCCACATAAATATTTTTCAATTCACAGAAGATAGTTATTGTTTATAAATAAAGGCAAATCCATGTGAGAAAAAAATTAAGGTTCACAAATGTATTACTGATGTGCACACACATTTCTTGACTTAAAACCCCACAACACTTAAAATTACCACAGCAACTACATAATCCCACCCAGATTTCTGTTCAGAGGGAGAGCAAAGAGCTATATGTGTTCTTAACATCTAGCAAATATAGTAGGTTTGATTCTCTCTGGTATATTTCACAGGTTTGTGATGACAACAATGCTTCAGCCATCCAAGAGGCCCTCCCTTCATTTGCACTCAACATATTTGTGAACAACAGAAATCAGGGAGGGAGGTCTTAAAAAGCAAGCTGGAATAGCCATCGCAGGAGCCATGGTCCTTTTTGGTATTCCCAATGTAGCACAGGCTTTCACCGACCTAATGGGCTTTTTAAGATTTTTCAGAAGATCTTCGTGAGCTGGAGGATGGGAACCAAAACATGTTCCCCAAAGTCCACGATCTCAAGGTCATCTTACTGGCCTAAAAGCCATACAGACATTGTTGAAGGTGGAGGACTGAAAAACACGTGTTGAAAAAAAATCTGTACAATGTCATTTTTTTTTGGGAAAAAATCTGTTTTCATACATAATGTTGTTCAGAATTAATGTTCAAGTGTATTGTGTTCAAATGTATTTGTAATTGAACTTTTATTTTGTTTGTGTGTTTGAGTGGAAGTTTTATACTCTTCTTTTAGTTGCTGCGTTAAAAAATGTTGATTTTGAGTATGATTGTGCTTCACAACTAAAACACTAACTTGTTAAATATTTTTACACATCCTTATATTAGTTATTTTTATAAAAATCTATTCATCTTAATAAGACACTGTTGCAAAGTTGCATTGTTAATGGTTAATAAGTGCATAAATAAGGATATATTAGCTTTTATAAGGCAGTAATATAAGCTTCTTACAGTCTGATTACTGTCATTAAACATCCTATTAACATTGATAAGTGGTCTACAAGCTGTTAACAAGTTTCTAATAAGTGTTCATAAGTATTTTACAAGCAATAATAAATGTGTTTTAGGACATTACTAACACTCATCAAGTCTAATTAATGTTAATAAACATCTTCATGAGGTATATATAACTTGTTACACGTTTCCTATTACAAGCACCTTAAAATAAAGTGTTACCAAAATCAATACATTACTGTAACTGCATTACTCCCAACACTGTCCAGCACTCACATTGTTTATATCCCACTTGCGCACATCTGTGCACCCATGGGAGTGTTTGTCTTGAAAATAAGGTGTTGCTGCATTGAGGCAACAGAAAGCAACAATTCCACTGACCAAGAAAAACCTGGTCTGAAATCATTGGCACAATATTTTCCTGCTATTTAAGAAGAGCCCGACCAATTTATCAGCATGCCAATATTATCAGCTGATAGGAGGTAATTGCAAATATAATTTCTAATTGCAGATAAACTGGTATGAATGTTTATAATAGCCAATTAATAATGATTAAAAAGCGGAGAGTAGGATCCTTCACTCGTGTTGCATAGATTGCCCACCAGATCACAATGGTTAAACCAGAAGGGACTAGGGGTCCAAAGACTAATCGACGAAAATCGATTATTAAATCTGTTGCCAACAATTTCAATAAATCGATTCGTTCATGACGTCATCGGGCCGTAACGACACAGTCAGCTTAACGGCGTAAAGTGATGTGAACAGTCAAGTTACTGAAACAACACAACAACAGCGCTGCAGTAACACCTTCACAACCAAAACCTCCAAAGTGTGGGAGCATTTCACTCTTCACACAGCTTCATTGACCGGCAAACGTAATGCATGACGTTATTCCTTTCTTTGTATACAGTGTCAGTTTGTCCCGGGGTGTTGCAGTACTGGCGTGAAAGCTGCTCCTTCACTAAACAGCAGATCAGCTGCTTATATTAGGACTTGGTTTTCAGAGGAACTTTCTTTTGCTGCAGCAGAAACGTTCTTTAAAAGATGCATTTTTGAAAGTATTTATTTTATTGTCTTGACTGTTAACCTCAAGTTTAATTTAAAAGCTAATAGCTAAATTCATAATCTGAATAGTCTATTTTTCGGATCAATAATCGATAGATTAATCAACTATAAAAATAGTCGTTAGCTGCAGCCTTAGAAGAGACATAACAATCATAACAGACTTGAGGTGGATCAGTTACAGCAACACACAAACTCCCGTCAACCTGGACCCTGACAGTCAACCAACCCAAAACCAGAGTGCTCATTTTCCAGACAAGGTCCAGACGACAGAGAAACAAAACCAGCTTCACAACAGAAATGTGTGTCCAACAAATCATTAACATGTGAGGAAATCTGAGCTTGGCTGTGAAAGACAAAGCATTACGGGGCTTTCTATGGCATCAAGAGATCAATAAACTTTTAACTACCAATTACAGCCTGGCTTAAAATATTCAGGTCAATCATCAAACCCACTGCGTTGTCTGGCAGCTGGGGCTGCTTGATTACAACAACAATCATAATCAGGATTATTTTGGTCATAATTGAGATCAAGATTATTTAACAGGATTACTGACTGTCATACATTTTGATCAGACTGTTGTGTAGGTTTTACTTACAAAAATCACCATTAACATCATGATACTGATAAAATAATTTGTCCATTGATTTGTTTCCTGGCCTCAAACAAGGGTCCAAATAAATTGTTGTTCAGAAGCTGAAGTAACTGCAGCTCATCTCAGGTCATTCAGAGAATAATAACGCAGGCAGACTGTTTGTCACTGTGATAAACTCACCAAACAACAAGGAAATATAATGACTCTGCTTCACTTTTCACCAGCATTGTTTCTGCTGCGCGCTCCCGACACAACACGGGCTGCACCGCGCATGGGGCCGCGCGGGAGACTCCCAGAACAAAGAAAAGAGAAACGCTCGTGAGTTTTTCTTTCAGCTTCCTCTCTTCAAGATGAAAACAGGAACCACGGAGACACTTTGGAAATCAAACCACGTCAACACAAACCCTGGAGCGGGTTTTCAGGCTCTGATCTCTAACAACAGAATGAACGGATGATACACGGACCCTCGAGACTCTTCCTCGTGTCTTTAGTCTCGTGATGAAGTCGTGAACACTGACCTGAACATCGGTGCTATCAGAGCACGAGGCTGCTGTTTGGCTCCTGTGGTCCGGGTTCTGGTTCTCCATCGTCCTGCAGGTCTCCGCTGTGACTGGTGGACCGTGTTGTCCTGGACTGAGTCTGGATTCTGGTCTCGGAGCACTTCCGGATCCCGCGGAGCCTCCGCGTTCTCGCTGTGACGGCGCCCCGCCCCCCTTAGTTACTGTCGCTAAGGCCGTTTAGAAACATGGCTCCTTGATTTCAGGCAGAAGATGAAGTTTAGTTAGTTGGTTTCCTGAAACCAGCTGATCATATTTGATGTGTATGAGGGAGTGTGCTTCACACAGAGCAGAGTTTTAATGAAGCGCTTGTTATTATCACATCAGAGGCTCATGAAAATATCCTGCTCAAGCTTTTTGTACATCATGTTTTTACACAAAGAAAGAAATAACTTCATGTGTCACATTTAATGTTGAATTTACAAGAAGGCAGAATCATTAAGAGTTTGTCGTAGACAGCGTTTCACAAAGTTTCTAAAGTGTCCTCTAACTCAACAAGTCACTAAACTGCAGGATTGTTGAAGGGAGTCTGGGACTTTCTCCTCTGGTAAGCTTAAAACACACATCATCTAAAGGTGGATTCTTGAATCCACCTTTAGATGATGTGTTTCCACTGATTCTTGAAATTTCCAGAGTTAAAGAAGACATGGAAGCAAAATAGACCAAAATCTCATACTTGACCACTACATGAAGAAAGTGTCTTTGAACAGTAACTTCATATTTTTTTTGTCATGTAATAACTATCCGTTTGCTGTATGCTGATAGATCTTCCTGTTTTGGCCTGCAAGTGCAACTTCTTACTGCGTCGTCTCAAGAGCGTTTGGCGTCCCATGGTGAATGATGTCATCCACAGGGTGGATCACTAAATCCTCAGAAACAGGGTCATCTGCTGTCCACCGCCTCGTGAGCTTCAGACAACTGGTGCTTGCTTTGAACGTCTGGCTGGATCTGCAGCATTCTCCAGGGTTGTGGGCAGCACTGACGGCGCTCATATGAGAATCAAGACCCCAAGAGCAGATGCTCAGGCTCTGACACGTTAAAGTCAAAACTCACTTTCATTCGATCTGTAACTTCTTCATAACGTTGTTAAACATCATCAAATATGAACAGAGGACTCTTAAAAGCAGACGGGAGCATCCGGAGATAATAATGGAAACGCTTCATGAGCACACACGTGTTTCAAACCTCAGTCTTATTACCGTCCACGAGGAAGGAAAGCGACCAAACAGAAAAGTCTTTGTGCTTTATGGTTAAAGAGAAACGTCCACCAAAAGCACGCCGAGCTTCTTCAGGGTCTTTTTCATAATGTGCGTGAAGGCTCAGTCTTCACTTTGGAAACAGTCCAAACTAATCTGTGCCAAAGGTTCACTTACTGGCTTCGTTCTGGTTGTCGAGGTGGTGTCCAGCAAACGATGTGGACTTTGTAGATCATTGGCAGACTTTCAGACCTGGTCTGATCCGGAGAGACGGCATCCATCCCACTTGGGAAGGAGCAGCTCTCATTTCTAGAAATCTGGCCAAGTTTATTAGTGGACCAAATCCATGACAACCCAGAGTTGAGACCAGGAGGCAGAGTCGCAGTTTAACACACTTCTCTGCCCTTCTTTTTCAGCAGTTACCCACCCAAAACCCCACAGTGACGGTGTCTGCACCCCAACCACCTGTCCATAAAAATTAAAACCACAAGAGCAGTAGTGCAAACAAATAGGAGAGTTAAATGTGGACTCTTAAACATCAGATCTCTCTCTTCTAAAGGTGTACTAGTAAATGAACTAATATCAGATTATGATGTTGATTTATTTTGTCTTACTGAAACCTGGCTGGTGATGGAGAATATGTTAGCCTAAATGAATCCACCCCTCCCAGTCATATTAATACTCACACTCCTCGAGGCACAGGCCGAGGAGGTGGAGTTGCAGCTATCTTCGACTCTAGCCTACTAATCAGCTCTAAACCTAAACTAAACTATAACTCATTTGAAAGTCTTGTTTTTGTCTTTCGCACCCAAGTTGGAAATCACTGCAACCAATTCTTTTTGTTATGTTTGTGTACCGAGCACCTGGCCCGTACTCTAAATTCTTATCTGAGTTTGCAGAGTTTTTGTCAACTTTAGTCCTTAAAACGGACAAAGTTATTATTCTAGGGGATTTTAATATTCATGTGGACGTTGAGAATGACAGCTTTAGTACTGCGTTTATCTCTCTGTTAGATTCCATTGGCTTCTCTCAGAGTGTTCATGAACCGACTCACTGTTTTAACCACACCCTCGACCTTGTTCTGGTGTATGGTATTGAAATGAACATTTAATAGTGACAGAATCCCTCTTTATTCGACCACTGACAGAGAGTCACAGCTCTATTGTATCTATGTGTATTCCCATAGCTCTCAGTAGTTACGACTTCATGAGCTTCTTTAATGATAAAATTCAAACTATTAGAAACAAAATTCACCACGACCTGCTCTCAACTGGCTCCGAGTTATCTCTAAAGTCAGGAACCTTAGAAACAGCTGTAAAACCAGATATATGTTTAGACTGTTTTGTGATGAGACGCACTTTGTAAAGCACTTTGGGTGAGGGCACCATGTACATGCAGACAGACAGACAGCAGGGGGCAGCACAGGAGCTTCTCTCTGTTCATAGGTCATTTTCACTCCAAAAGTAGAAACATGATTTTATGCTTGATCATCACTGCTGACAGCAGAGAAATGTGCAGTGAGATACCACACGAAACACCCACAGAAGAAAGAGGAAATCAGACCTGCTGCAGCAATATTTGACATGCAAAGAGCTTCCTGCAGCGTTTCTATGTGACAGTTTCACTGCAGTTCATAACGCACCTGTCTGTCTGCATCTAAACAAGAGGGAAGGAACTTCAGATCAGTTACAACATATTATTTGATCTAAAAATAGTTTCTGGGAAAAGACTCAACCACAAAGGTGACTGACAAATCTTCTAAAATAAAATCAGACACACCTTCATGCAGTCCACATAATAATGTCTCCAGTGTGATCAACAATCCATCCAAATGGTCACAGTGAGGTGACAAAAGGAAACAACTGGATGTTTTTAATTTGAAGGAGATTAGAAACGAGAAGTTACTGAGTATCAAGACGTTTCAGACTTAAGCTAAAAACAACAAAGCTGAACAAAGAGGTGAGAATAAACATAACTAAAAAGCAACAATGAACAGAGCAACATGATGTCTATATACAAGTCAAATATTTCTGTAAATGATCTGTTGTTTTATTGTCACACTTGCTTATTGCACAATCAACTTTCAGCAGAGATTCAGGCAGAGAGCAGCTTCCTCTTTCTGCACTCTTTCTTTATACATGAAGAAGGTCTATGTGTTGCATCTGCTTCATAACAGGAAACTGTTAAACATTTAATCTTTTATGCATGTTCTTTTACTATTATTATTATTACTAATGTCATTACTAATTTTTTTATAGCTTCTAGATATATATATATTGTGTTTTTATCCTTAACCTTTCCTCTCCTATACTCCTTATTTTAGTCTGTCCACATTTACTGGGGTTTAGGTCTGAGCTGTTAGTTTGTTTTGGTGTTTTCCCCTCTCTTGTTGTTCATTCAAGGCCGAGAGAGGATCTCTGTTCCCCAAAACATAGAAACCTACACTGTGTAAATGATGATGCATCCCTTTGCTCGGGGACAGACAGGCAGACATGCAGCAGGTCTCTAGATCAGCTGTATATTTGTTTTAGTACTTCTCTGTTTATTCTCTTTTATTAATAAATTCTTCTAAGACAGAGGTTAGTTGTTACTCAATTATTTGCTTAATCCCTCACCAGGAATATAATTTCCACGACAGAAACTATCTCAGACGACACGTACTGTTCATACAGGAAACGGTTTCATATATGGCTTTGTTTTCCACTCTACTCAGTGTCTGCAGCTTCGAGTAAACTTCCTCTGTTGTGGTTCTGCGGTGTCTCAAGTTACAACCAGGAAACACGCGACAGAAAAAGAAGGTGCTTTTTCTCTTTTCTTCAATACTTCAGACTGATTCTTTTCTTACAAACACACCAGGACTGAAATAAAATTAAACTGTCAATATGTGCAGTTTTGGTGATGGCGTGCATGCACATGCAGCTGCAGACACCCTGACAAAAACACTATTTCTCTATTTTTCCTGCTCACTGACACTGAAACACTTTGCTATTTGCTTGCTGATATTCTCAGCAAGACAGAAAGCTAAATGATCATATTGATTCACTGCTAAATGCTGAAATGTCTTCCCTACCAGGAGTCTAAATTGAATTACTGTGATTGTAACTCAGATGTGCTGTGTCCCCCCTGATAGCTCCTTTGTAGTTAGTTGAGCTGGAAGGGGAAACAATGTGGTGTTTCAAACTTACATCTTGTCCCTGAAAGTACCACTGACAGGCCAGTACACAGTCAGCTGTGTTGGGATTCACTGTTGCTCAGAGACAGACATTTGAAAGGACGTCACTTTGTGTTGATAAGTGGTGGGGACATAAAAGCTCAGATGAACAAACGGTCTTCAGCATGAGCACTGTTAGGAAGTATAATGAGAAGATCAGTATGAGGTCAGACTAGAGAAACTATTGCGTAACGGTGCATCAAAAGTGTGTAGTGTAGGCTGCTGCAGAGTCCACAATATGAAAAACTATGCATCACATCCATCACATCCACACCTGCAACACCATGTCAGTCATTTAATTATTATTTAACTTTATTAGAAACTGATCTTCAGAGGAAGAACAGCTGCAGTCAGAGGACAAACAGGCAGCAGCAGAAACATTCATCATCATTTGTTTGTTGGTTGGAAACCCAACCCTCGGTGGTAGATCTCTGGACCGGTGGATAGTGGTTTCATGTATCTGTTATTTATCATTTAATAAAAACAAAAGACAGCAGTCTGTTGTATTTCATTTATTTGTTCAATTCTCCCCACAGTTACCAAAGTGTCCAAGGTCAAAGCTAAAGTCCCACAATTAACGAAATAAAACTCCCCAAAAATAAACTGTATACATAGCAGGTATACACATAACAGAAACAACGCAACATTAACAGAAGAGCAAACTGGAAGCTATAAACCTCCAAACTATCACATTAATACATCATCTACACTCACTCACAGCTCCTCCTTTTATATTTCCAGCCAACAGCAGCTAAACAAACCAGAACAAAAGCTGCTGTCAGTCCGTAGTAAAGACCGTAGTTTCCCTCCTCGACGTCTCCGCTGTTGGACCCTGAAGATCAAAGTGCATATTAGTCAGGAAATGAGTGAACAGTGGAACAGCCTCCATTTACTCTTCTATATCTTCTATATTCCTCATGTTTGACTCTCAGAATCAACATGGAATAAACTGCAGGTACAACATGGCACACAGACACACTGACCTCCACAAACTCACCTGAAACCTCCAGCTGGTAGATTCTGATTGGCTCAGTCTTAATATTGGCTTTCTTATGTCTCGATCCACCTGTTGCAACTCGACACTCGTATGTTCCAGCGTCGTTGCTGCTCACATTCTTCAAAACTAAAGACACATCTCCGTCCTTCAGCTCTCTGTCCACCAGCTGCACCCGGTCCTTAAACGATGAATGCTGGTAGGTTGGTTCTGAGCGTCCGTCTCTGTAAAAGAGGACGTACTCTGGTGGCTCCAGGTCAGGTCTGGTCCACTCTGCAGCTCTGATGGAGGCATTATGAGCCTGACATGGCAGAGTGACATTATCTCCAGGTTTCACGGTTTTCACCTCTAAAAACAATAACATCCATCCAGAGAGAAAAAGTATTTACATTTGAGAAGGAAGAACAGGGAGAACCTTCTTTGTTTAAACAGAAGGCCTCTTCACACCTGAGATCATGGGAACGTCCAATAATTAGTCACAACTGTTGGGATGTTACATGATTAATGTTATGACAGAAAATTGTGTCCTCTTGCAGTTAATCTTTTATGTATGATCTTTTAATATTATTATTATTATTATTACTATTCTCGATGATGCATCTCTTTGCTCATGGCCAGATGCCTGAAGCCGCCTTAGCTGGACCAGCTGTATATGTGTTTCAGTACTTCAGTTTATTCAACCGTTGGTTGTACCTCAATTCTTTGCTCAACCCCTCACCAGGAATATAATTTCCACGACAATTTTATTCCCGCGTGATTAAATGGCAACATTCATACTACCAATCAGAGCCCTCAGTGACGTCTTTTTAAATTCAGACAGACGTGAGGGAAGTCGTACCTCGTGGCAGCTGACGTCTAAATGCAGCACTGTTTACAAATATCGTGTATTATGCCTGCATATATGAACTACATGAACACATGTGCACTGTAACGTATGGAGAGATTGATAAGACGAGTTATGAGTGGGTTGTTGTACTTTTTTGAAGTGCTTAAGTAACGACAAAATCCTCTAAACTAGCCAGCATCGGTGCTAAAATAACTTGCCGTTCTTTTGTGGTGTGCTGTGTGTGAGCTGCTTAAAGCGAGCCAACTGTTGACTGACCAGTACATATTCTGTTCCTGTCCAGATAATAAACGGCTGCATCGAGAGATAAAAGCGCCTCAAACTCATTATTCCAAACACACAATGCAGAGTCGAGGGGTTGATTGAACCAGCCAGTTACAGTGAAGTGTAGCTGAGTGCGGTTACATTAACAGATGGACACACAGAAGTGAAATCGTAACCTCTGTCCACCTTGGAAAACAATAAGGTCACTTTGAGAATTATCTTTGAGCTCCTCACCTTTGAGAGAGTTGGTTTGAAGCTTTCCATGATGGCTGATTTCACACTTGTAGAGGCTTCATCAGACTTGGAAACATGGTGGAAACCAGCTGTGAGGTTGGAGGGAGGGGTCTCTTTTTTACAGTACTTAGTGGCATCATGTCCCTCCATCACAGGAGGACAGGACTCTGCAGGATCAGTGATCCACCTCAACACAGAGACAAACTACAGCATTTCATCATTTACACACAGCTTCATCAACACTAACTCCACAGTCTGATCTTACAGTGACAGTGATGTTGATGGTGTTACTGGTTGCTCCCTCTCTGGACTCACACCAGTAAACTCCACTGTCAAACGGGACGATGTAGCTGATGTTACAGGAAGAACCAGCTGATCTTCCCCAGTCAGCTCCACACTGAGTCCTGGTTTCTCTGGTTGTGTTCCTCATCAGCGTCCATCTAGCAGAGCTGTCGTCCTCCTCACAGCTCAGAGTGACAGACGTCCAGTCGAAAAACTGAGAGCTGCTCGGTCTCACAGTCAGAGAGGCTGGAGGAAATGTATTGTGAAACACAATTCAAGAGTCCAGCTTAAGCAAACCAATTGAACCAATTAAACAAACCAGATATGACATTATATAGCTGGTAGGTTTAATTACGTTTGGACAGAACCAGGCTAGCTGTATCCCTGTTTCCAGTCTTCATGATAGCTAAGCTGCTAGCTGTAGCTTCATATTTAACATACACATGAAAGCTCTTGGTGTGTGTTTTGTGGTATTAAATGTGAAGGAGCACTTTTATTTTACACACTTTTAACTTGTCGTATACAAACTCACCTTGGTTTGTTGTGCAGCACAGCAGCAACATCAGCACTGAAGTGAAATGAGACTCTGGTTGGTTTGAGATTCACAATGAACATTCAGTTTAAATCACAAGACCTAAAATAATTAAACATTCAGAAACGGTTCTGAAGATGTAAACTTGGCACTAAAATGAAATAAAAACGTATCTGTTTACAGTAAATCCAAATTTAGTTGCGTTCAACAAATTATTGTGAGTTTTTGCTTTAAACACCAATTATCAGTTAATAGTGGATCAAGGGAGAAACCTGGAGTGACCAAAGCTCTGTTACTGATCTTTAACTGTAAACACATCGACACAATCATCTTGTGGAGGCAGGATGTGTTTTGTGGCAGGATGAGAGTGTCACTGCTGAGGTTTGTCTGCAGCATTGTTCATTAAATGTGACATTTTATGAAGTTTAAAAGTTGAAGTAAAGTATTGCACCCCCTGTTAAATGAGATTTATATAAATGCCTGAATTTTCTTTCTCTACTTTTTTTGTTGGAACAACAAACATTTTCTGACCAAGAATTCCTCTTTGGTCAGCATATGTGTTGCATTTTTTGCTGCATTAATTCCTCTATGTTGCATGTTTTTCCTGTGATGATCACTAACATCTTGTTTCTTCCACTCTTCGCCAACATGCTGTAAATGAAATTGTTTAAAATGTAGAAAGTACACATTGTACTCACGGATCAGATGAGATGTTGGCCCCATTGTAGCGCACAGTGATGCAGCAGTCGAACCCACCTCCTTCCTCTGTGCTGGGCACTTTGCTGGCTGTGTGGTTTTGCTCTCAGCAAGAAACAATATGGTTTATTTGCACATATGAACCGTGAGTGCATTTGTTCGACTTCATGTCAGGACCACCCACTGTTCAGTATGTTAGGAGTACATTTTTCAGCCTCTCAAAGTCTCATCAGCCTCATGTGTGGATGTATTGCACATTTCCTTTTTCAGAATAACCAGGGCTAGTTGAAAATTACATTATATCATGTGCATTGTTGCATTTAAGATTCATGCCATATGATAGAATACCACTTTTAAAAAAAATGCAGGTTTTTGGTGAAACTGAAAACAACAAATTAATAACACAGGAGAAAATTGATAAAGCCGAGCTGGCCCTAGGCCTTCATCAAAGTTTAATTGGCGGCCCCTCTGACTGTCAGGCATTGTCACTATATATGACACAGAAACGTCTCTTGTTTTAAAATAAGACCCGACGAGTCTTTCTTATATTCTTAATCCTGCCATGTTTGTTTAGCACAAAAACACCAAAGCAAATTTCTTAAACATACTTAGCAATAAAGCTGATTCTGATGAAAAACAATAACTAGACTATACTCCATATTATTATATCTACTATTTTAACAAATGATACCACCACTGCACCTGAGCTTAATGCCAGTGCAAGACCCAGTAGACGCTAATGAACTTAGTTCTGAATAAAAACACTGATAAACTGATTATGACTGACCAAAGCTCAAATCATTAATAACAACCACACAAGAGTTGCAGAGACTACAAAACCATTAGCATAATCTTTCTCATCAACTTCTTTGAGTGATCTAAACATTTAATGATAGAAAAGACTTTTACTGTCTGAGTGTCTTTTTGGAAAAGTAAAAATGTCTCTGTCAGCCCGTGTTGGTTCCCTACTCACCACATCAAATTGTATTTGGTAATTAAGGATAGACCTGTGAGGGAGATTAACACAGAAAATAAAGTTGTTTTAGTAAATTGACATGTTCATACACTGAGTGTTGCTTGAGGTGAATAATTGTTCATTTATTGTTGATGTATGCCTAAACTACCAGCATTGTCAGCTTCTTGGATGACACATATGATGGAGGTAGAGGTCAAGGTTAGTGGACCTGCTACGAAATAATAATAAATAAATTGACATGACTTTTTGTTCTTAGCTTAGATCTAGAATATCTTATAATTCAAGACAATCTGCCTGAGTTTGATGCTGTATCCTTTTACAAGTGACTTTAGATGTCTTTTCAACACTGGCAGCTTTGGAGGCGGCTCCATGGTGTTGATCAATAATCAGTCCTTTAAAACAGCTTCTACACAGTCCCTACCTGACAGATTTGAATTTGATTTATAATGAAAGAACAGGGCATCTCTATTTTAGGTTTAACTAAAACATATAACTTACCAGCAGTGTCAGCTTCTTGGGTGACATGACTGTGTTCAAACCTGGCCTTTCTGGTTTTGTTCTGTTAAAGGGAGGGAATATCAATGCTGACATGAGCTGAGGTGTAAAGGTCAAAGACATGTGAGCTAACAGACTTAATGAGCAGCAGGTGGCGCTCAAACACAGTCTGATTAATTTTAATGTTTGTTAATAGTGTTGAGGTTTGGACTGTTGGTTGGACACAACAAGCATTGTGAAGGTGTCACTTTGGGCTCTGGGTAACTGTGACAGCATTTCTCAGTATTTACAGAATCTTTACAAACCAAAGAATCAATCGATTAATGGAGAAAATAATCAGCAGATTGATCCATAATGAAAATAATGATTATCTGCAGTCTGATACAAAATAGTTCAAAATGAACTCCAGCTCAACAACTACAGCAGTAAAATCCTGCTTTTACATTAATGAGTCATTAAAATAACAGAAACTTTATGTAATTAATATTTTTAAGGCTGAAAAATCAAAAGGTATTAGCTCTGCCTTATTTTATGGGAGTTTTGTGCCAGTGTGCTGGCTAGCTGCGTTGTATAAAACGTACGAAGCCGGAAAGGGAGTCCGACTTCATCTGCTTCTGAGCCAGGACCGCAGCCAGCATGCCTGTATTGTGTTACACGTAACAATTATGCAGCAAACATATGATAAACAAATGAGGCATATTAGCAATAGTCTTTCTATATTTATGGATGGATGTTTGTGAGTGAGTGAGAGAGAGAGGAAGGAAATGAGAGAGGAGGGGCTGAGCGAATAATAAAATGCTGCGGCTTTTACAGTCACCAGATCTCAACCCAATTTCACACCTTTCACATGATGGAAACTAAACTCTCATCTTCACAATATGTAGTGATGTCTGTGACTGTCTCTGATGCTGTATGTGCTTCTGTTTCTCTGCTGTACTCAGGTCCCTCAAAACACACTTCATACAAATACATATACCAAAATATTTGCTATGGTCTGAACAGATGGAACCCTGCCCCAATACATTGTATATTTCCTTGTAAAGAAATGAAAAAAAAAGCAGTAACAACAAACATTTGTCTTTGTGATATTTATTAAAAGTAAGAATAACAGAGTGATTCAGCTGAAAGGTCACAGCTCATACACGCGAGGTCGATTAGAAAATCTGACCCAGAGAAGCAGATAAGACATTTAATGCTAGAGAAGATGTGTGGAGTCTACGAGAAAAGCCTTTCTCAGCCTTGTGCCACAGTGGAAACTATTCTTTCTACACCAACGTCACACATTTGAAAGAGGAAATAGATAACTTTCTTTGGCAGGAAGCCGTGGTTTGATACTTATTCAGCTTGCGTTTATTTACATATCTGCTCTGGTTTTATCATTTCTGAAGCAACGACTGTAACTACAGACAAGCGGCTTCCATATATTTAGAATACGTTAAATACTGTAGTTCAACCACTCATTAACGTTAGCACTGCTCCACTGATAAACATGGTGTTAGCTTCCTTTGTGGCTAATTTAATTTAGCAATGGGGCAGCATTAGCTGCTGTAAGCAATGTTAGAGAATAGGGATGAACAATTTAGGGGAAAAAATCTAATTGCAATATTTCTGCCAAATACTGTGATTAAGATTTGATTTGTGTTGAATTTTTTAAGTTTAACTAATTTTCAATATTCATTACGAAATAGATTAAACATGTTATGGCACATTACAACATAGAGACCTAATTATGATTCCTAACCTGTCGTCTTTGATTGCAAATCAGAAAGTGTTACAGGTTAAGTTTTGCAAGTGAAACAGTTTTGCAAGTGGAGAAGTTTTGCGAGTGAAAAATGTTCGAGATAAGAGTTTCAGTGGTAACAGTATCGGTGGGTTTGACCAATCATGGGTTTGTTTCAATGGCATGGCCACGCCCACAATCCCCTTGCTCAGACGGAGTTGTTAAGTGTAAAGGTTGAAGAAGGTAAGTTGACATTATGTTGCTAGATGTAGTATGCCGTGATTGAATGATTATTTACATTTACAATTGTCAAGGTCACAGTCTATCATGGCTCCTTTTTAAAGAATGACATGTATATCAGTTAGCTGACGTTAGGCATGAAGCTCGGAGGACCTGCACCAGCTTCACCTCGAGCAGTCCTGGGCGATATTATATATTAGTGCAAATCTAGTTTTCTAGCACCTAAAAGACAACATGGGTATGCAGTGATTGACAATGCGCACACACACACACACACACACACACACACACAAGTAGACTCAGCAGGGGCCGTCACACGTCCTACATAAGAGACAGACGACAGGTTAGAAATACGTGCAGATGGAGAGCATATTCTCCCAACTAAGAAACACTGTCAGACGCCTAATTTCTCTACGTAATCTAGCATTACATAACTCCGGAACCTCAACAGCTACCTGTCTTCTCTGCCAGCAGCCCTAACTGGCATGCGAACGCTGATTTACCAAGTTTTGCATGCACCTCGCGGGAGCTAACACTGAGAAAAATCTTGAATAGTATAACATTGGCAGCCACACACAGCAATGAGTGCCCTGCTAGGCTTGGCCGTCCGCACCGCTTCCCAGAACGGAGAAACATTGTCCACCTCAACTCTCTCCCCTCAACACTTCGTGGTCCGTCCCTCTTGTCCTCATAGGCCCAGGCACTTTTCTAATATTGTCCGCAGATCCTTCCTCTCCCCCACCGTTACAGTACCTGGCCACGGCTAGCATTGACTTTACGTTACTGTTACATTGCCCGTTTGGTAAGTTAAACGTTAACATTGCATTATGTCGTCTAACACAAGCAGGACCATTAGTTTCCAACTTCACACAGATGCCTTTTGTTCAAAAGTATTATCGCCCTAAATTATAACACTTCTGTTTTAACGTTACGTTTTGACTTTTGTGCACGCTGGTTTAATAACTGCGGCTAGCATACACTCCCATTAAATTAGTATAGTTAGCACATTTTGAAGTTGGCTAATTAGCTAGTTAACGAGCTAATCTAACATGGTATGAATGCAGAATCCAATACCCATTTACTGCTATCACATAAATAAAATTCTAGAATTTTACTCACCAAAGAAACAAAGTACAGGCTTCTTGGACGGTCTGATATTACTATTAACCAAATAGCAACTAACATTATTTGCCCCTGTATTTGCATGTCAAAAGGAACAAACATGGCTGAGAAGTCAATTTCTGAGGCAGCTAGCAGACAGACAGCAAGGCAGCATGGGGATTGTGGGCGTGGCCACGTGGTCAATCCACACCCATGACTGTTCAGTCAAACCAATAGAAACTGTTATCGAATTTCTTCAGACCTAGCAGAGTGGTTTCTCTCCAGTGTGAACACGTTGGTGTTTTTTCAGTTCCCCTGGTGTAAGGAAAGCTTTCCCACACTGGTAACAGCTATACGGTTTCTCTCCAGTGTGAACACGTCGGTGGACAGTTAATTGAGGTGATGTAAGGAAAGCTTTCCCACAGTGGTCACAGCTGTACGGTTTCTCTCCAGTGTGAACATGTCTATGGACTTTTAGGTCACCTAATCTGGAAAAAGCTTTCCCACATTTCTCACACCAATATGGTTTCTCTCCAGTGTGAACACGCCTGTGGACATTTAGGTCATCTGATCTAGAGAAAGCTTTCCCACACTGGTCACAGTTGTACGGTTTCTCTCCAGTGTGAACACGTTGGTGTTTTTTCAGGTCACCTGATTTACTGAAAGCTTTCCCACATTGATCACACCAGTACGGTTTCTCTCCAGTGTGAACACGTCGGTGAACTGTTAGTCGAGATGATGTAATGAAAGCTTTCTCACATTGGTCGCAGCTGTATGGTTTCTCTCCAGTGTGAACACGTCGGTGGACTTTTAGGTCACCTGATTTACTGAAAGTGTTCCCACATTGGTCACACCAGTATGGTTTCTCTCCAGTGTGAATGCGTCGGTGGATTGTTAGTTTAGATGATGTACAGAAAGCTTTCTCACATTGGTCACAGTTATATGGTTTCTCTCCAGTGTGAAGACGTCGGTGGATTGTTAGTTTAGATGATGTACTGAAAGCTTTCCCACATTGGTCACAGCTGTATGCTTTCTCTCCAGTGTGAACACGTTGGTGGACTTTAAGTACACCTGATGTAGTGAAAGCTTTCCCACACTGGTCACAGTTGTACAGTTTCTCCCCAGTGTGAATATGCTGGTGTTTTTTCAGGTCCCCTGATGTAGTGAAAGCTTTCCCACACTTGTCACAGCTGTACGGTTTCTCTCCCGTGTGAAGTCTCTGATGAATCTTTAAAGATCCAGATCTTGTGAAGGATTTGTCACAGAGCTGACAGAAGTGACGTCCTCTCCGTTTCTATATCAACAGACATACAGAGAGAAAGACAGTGAGTGAGATGTCATGGTGGAGCAAGTTATCTATATATGACATTTAGAGCCTGTCTGTGAAACATAACCCACAATGTTCAAGTCTGACTAATGCATTAGCACATGTGACAAACAAATGGGATGACACAGACCTAAATAGGAATCTGACTGTCACCACAGATCCCTCCTTGACATTTCTTAATTATCGATCAACATAATCGAGTTGTTTACCTGTGTTGATAAAGCTTGACCCACACTACAGACTAAATTAGGATATCTCCTCCGACTCAGATTGACATGTTTTATGAAACCGTCTTTCATAAGAAAACTGTTCCACTAAAAATCCGAAGTGCCCCTTGTAGGCTGGGGGGTGCTTCAAACAAACTAGTTCATATGATGGGCCATGGGACTACATCAACAAACAAGAGCTTTCATAACCAATTGCTTAAAAGGTCAGTTTTTCCTAATGGTCCTGGTGAAGCCAGTTAGAAAACAGTTTGTAAAGACAACAATAATGTCCTCCGTATTGGACACAAAAGACAAGTCTGTTTCCACTGAAATATAAAGATATGTGGATCATTTACTAAGACCAGAAAACCCAAAACATGATGTTTTCTGTTTTTCGGTCTTCGCTGTGCATCTTTTAAAACAAATTTTACGTCTCTGCATGGACTTCAGCACCAGATGCAGAGATGCTCACAAGTCTTTGAGCTGGAGTTCAAGTCAAGTCTCCCGTGGTTATAATGTAGATTTTCTCTTTATTGCACCCTGAGAGAAGAGGGGGGGGCAGCAACGCCTTTTCTTCCTGCAACACTCAGACGCTTAAAACTCCCCCATGACCTCTTGAAAAATTTCTACAGATGTACAATTGAGAGTGTCCTGACATACTACTGTACAGTGTGGTACTTAAGCTGCACAGCAGAGGAAAGGAAGGACCTACAAAGGGTGGTGAAGACTGCTCAGTGGATCGTCGGTGCCCCTCTTCCCCATCTGAACAACATCCACTCTAGCAGTCTTCTCAGACGTGCGAGGAACATCAATGGAGACTCTTCACACCCAGGTCACCATCTGTTTTGCAAACTTCCTTCTGGCAGGCTCAACGTCATCAGAGCAAGGACAAACCACCTAAAGAACAGCTTTTTCCCAAGAGCTATGGACATGCTGCTGCAATCTCGAATGTTGCTCAGGTGATCAAACTGTGCTTAACACACACTGACTGCACTTTATCCAATTGCTGGACCAGTTAATTATTTCTTAATGCTAACATTGCTGTTGCATTCTTTTAATGTATGTTTTACTGCTTCATTTTATGCAATCCTTTTATGGCGTATTTATTTATTTATAGAAGCTGCTAAGTTCAATGGTTTGCTCTAAACTGCATCTCGTTGTATTTCATGTGCAATGACAATAAATTCTCCATCCATCTTGCTTCAGTCCATGTTGCTAAGCCGGTCGGTAACATGTAGCCTACAGCTGAATCGAAGCAGTTTATGGGTTTCTCGCTGGCCCGCCCTTCTCTACTTCTGATTGGCTAGTAGTCCTTAGCTATGCATGCGCAACTCCCAACAAACATCATTTAGAGACTAGGGATGTAGATCACAAGTTTTGTCACGATATGATATTATATTGATTCTTTGGGTAACAATACGATATTTGCAGATATCACAAAGCCTGCCACGATACGATTTCAATTCGATTCAATTCAGGGGCCTGCAATCAATATTAGACAATATCATATGGCCATTAAACACTTTCAGTTAGATTTATTCCAATTCACAACAAATACAACTAAAATATGATTTGACAAAATTTATTATGGAGCTCTTCCATACATTTAAAAGAAAAACAATCTCTTTAATAAAAGAAAATAGATAACCTGTTGTTCACTATAGCGCCACATTTCTCATGTTTCAGTGCAAAATCAGTTAACTAACTTTAAAGAGCCCTTTATGACTTCTTAATTATGAACATAACTGTGTACATAATATGCTTTAGTACCTTGGATTTACAAGGTTACATCTGTGTGCTCACTCAGAGGTTTAGAGATAATGAGCTTTAACATGTTCATCCCATCTTATAAATGAAAAGTGAAATAACTTTAACTTCACATTTACAAAAGAGTTCAAGCTTGTGTAAACATTCACTCATATTTAGAGTCTCAAACAATATTTTTCACAGAAACAAAGGTCAGCATTTAAAGTGCAAATGCAGTACAGTCTTCCTGCATCATAGCTATCCACTACTACTTTGGGATGTAAAGTTTTCTTCACCAAATCAAAATATCACAACAAAGCAAATGTAAACAATTCCAAATTTGTGCATATTGAACAAGTACAAATACTTAAAGTCCTTTGCATGTAGTCATCTGTAGTTTGATGACTATTTGGATCATAGCTTACTATGGAATCTCTACAATAGTCAATTATGTCCATCAGTGTGTTCTCTTTGAGAGTTTTTTCTTCAAAAAAACAACTGATCGACATGTTCAGGAGACAAAACACTGCGTTTTGAACGAACAATGTCACCTGCAGTAGTAAATACATGCTCAGAAGGTACCCTAGTACCAGGAATGCAAAGTTATGTTTTGGCAAGGTTTGCCAGGAGAGGAAGCTCATCCTGTTGAACTTTCCAACACATTACCTCCCAGGATCAAAGATGCAGTGTCTTTATATGGGCTAGTTCTCTGGAGGTCTTGACTGTCTGGCTAGTGTCCACAGTGCAGAAGGTGTCACCAAAGAGATCTTCAAGTGCCTTTGACTTCTTCAAAGCAGAACATATTCAAAATGACACAGAACACAAGACTTAATGATTTCAGAAGACAAAATATATTTTTCAGTTACCACAAAGAGGAAAAATATTGCGCGCGCGCACGCACACACACACCCCTTGTTCAGTGGCTTGAGCCTGAGACACTGGCACCAACTCAGATTGATCAGCAGAAGTTTGGTCACCAGATGAGTGAAGAGGTGTATTCTCAATATGTGCCACTGTGTCACTCTGTAAATGATTTAAACAAAAATAAACATATACACGCAAAAGCAAATGGAAAAGAACAAGCAAAGAACATTTTATTCATGAATAGCTTTTGCATTTCTAAAACATTACTACAAATAGACAAAATAAATATGATCTTACTTTCTGGTCCCACAGCTCTGCAGCCTCACGTATGAGACACTGGAAGGTTGCACCGCTCTCCTCCTCACTTCTGAATGGCAGCTTCACGAACCTTGGATCTAATGGCAGACGCTTTATGCAGGACTTGCTGCACATCCACGTATCGCTGTTCAAGCTCCCTGGCCATAGTCTGCTTTATCTCTGTTACTAAAGTGGAGTCTTTCTCTGAGACACTGAAGTGCTCCAACAATTTAGCTTTAAGTGGTGCAATGACAGACACAGTGGGCTGATGTTCCTCACACATGATGATGGTGGCACTTTTCACTGGTCCAAGTAGCTTCACCAAGTCTTCAGCTGTAGTGATGTCACTTTCGTTGAGTGTATGTACGTCATTTGCTTTCCTTAGTTTTGTGTGTCAAACGAATTGTTCCAGCGTGTGCTAAAATTTCCTCGTCCTTTTCTTGGCTACCTGCCATGAGCATGGCACCGCTAACATTGTTTAGGAAGGAGCAGTGCCAACGGAAATAAAGATGCAGGGGTGTTATGGGGATTTCAAAATAAAGGCGTATATTATAAATGATACGTATCGATGTTTTCATTTTAAATCGACTATATTAGATTGCTGATTATTTAATCTATATGGTTCGATGGATTGTTACACCCCTATTAGAGACATGTCGTCAACACACAAGGTGAAAAGAGGTGCCGTCATTTTAAAGCAATTAAATATGACCTGTTGCACAGCTGCATCATCTGTGCACGGTTTGAGCTGTGATCTCTGTCAGAGCAGCAGACCAGCTTTTGGCACTAAAGGCTACAGATAATTTCTTCACAATCCAGAAACATTTCTGTCAACATTATAACAGAAACATCTCGAGGTTCCAATAAACAATAGAGCATCTGTTGAAAACAGTCATGGATTACAGCAGCTTAATCATTCACTAGGCTACACAGCACTACTTTTTTTGCGGTTAACAGAATACTCATATAGGCTACGCAAAGGTCATCCACCCCCACAAACTAATTATTTTTTCAGATTTGGAGACCACACCTGCATGGACACCTGGAGCTTTCCAGGTGATTTCTTTCTTGTGTGTTATACTGATGTGCTATGAGTGTTATCTTTTACAAATTACTTTGATAATTAGAGAGGCTGCTGTCAGTCTGTTTCCATTACTGCATGTTTCCATCCGCGCAGCAAATATCGTAGGACAAAACAAAAACACCTGCAGTAATAAACTTGACAGGACAGACAAAACATTTTAAACTGGGGGATGTGTTGAATTAAACTTTCAGCTTCTATAATCCATGTTTAGACGCTCTGTTGAGCTGAGGATTGATCAGGACGGCTGCTGTACTCCAAACAGCTTCACTGTATGTAACTGGACAGTGAGTGAGACCTTTTGGATGTGTAGAAGAACACAGAACATGAATAAACATTAGCTCCTGACCGATCCCGTCAGTGTGTCGGGTGATTAAAATATTTATGTTCTTTTGCTGTTGCTCATGCGTAAATGTACACAGCTCTCTGGAGAGGCACTTCATCCAGCTGCTACTCAGGGTTTATTTTTACGATTCTGCTGCCCATCCACACATCACATTCAGCAATAACATCAGTGATAATAAAGTCAAATCAAAATGTCATTAAGGAATGCAGTTAGAACAGCGCTTTATGCAGCGCTATACAAACGGTGAAGGGCAGAAAGTTCAACCGCGCAACAGGAACACTGCTGAGTCCTGTTGGTCAAGTTGCATGTCTCACCTTTTCTATACGTCACAGTGGCTGAAAAGACTTCCGCAAAGGATACACTGATGTATCCTCGCTTATAGCTCCTCCAGCAAGCCTCCTCGATCCTCGTTTCTCGCTCCTCAATG